CTCCTCTCCCACCTCCTCCCTGCCCTCCAGGTCCTTCTCTTCCTTCTGCCCTGCACAAACACCTGTCCTCCCTGGCTGCTTTCCAGGAGACTCCCTCCTTAAATTTGGGAAGCGTTTCCTTCCCAAATGCTTTCTTTTCCTCACTTTCCCTCAACAAAATGCAACCATCCCATGGCTCTCCCCTTTTAATCAGTTTGAAATTCGTATAACATGAAATTAACTGCAGTATTTTATAGTGAAAGTTTAGGAGACAGTAAGCTTAAATGTACAGCTATCACCCTTACCTACTTGGAAAAAATTTTAACCACTCCAAATTAATAGCCATACCAAGAACTCCCAATTCCCAAGCCTGTAAGTTGCTTTACTTCTTTGTATGGCCAAAGAGTAGTCTGTTGTGAGCATATACTGCATTTTGTTTATCCATTTATCAAATTCAGGTTGTTTTAACTTCAGGGCTATTACAAACAGTGCTGCTGTGAATATTCATCTATGAGTTCTCATATAGACACACTTTGAATTCTCTAGAAATAGAATTGCTGGGTCATATGAGAACTCAAATTTGAACTTTTTAGGAAGTCTCAGACTTATTTACAAAGTGTTTGAACAGTTTTACATTTTCACCAACAATATTTGAGGGTTCCCATGTTACCAGCATTTATCCCTGTCTTTTAATTGAAGCCTTCCTACTAAATGAGAAGTAGGTTATTATGATTTTGACTTATGTTTCCTAATAACTGAGATGAAGCATGTTTTCATGTGGTTGTTGACGATTTTTACATCTTTGGAAAAGTCTTTTCAAATCCTTTGGTCATTTTAAAATACATTGTATGTGGTCTTGTTGAATTGAAAGAATTGCTATGTATTTTGTATTAGATAATATATTTTGCAAATATTCCCTCCCATTCTCAAGATTGTTTTTATTTTCTTGGTAATGTCCATTGATGTGAAAAAATTTTTGATTTTGATAAGGGCCAAATAATTTTTAATTTGATGGTTTGGATTTTGATCTTACCACTAAAAATTCACTGCCAAATCCAAGGTCATAAAAATTACTTTTTTTGTGTGTGTAACGAATGTTATGATTTTAGTTCTTATAGTTGAACTATTCATTTTGAATTAATTTTTGTATATGGTTTGTGTTAGGGGTGTAGCTTCATTCTTTTGGATGTGGATATCCAGTTGTCCTAGAACTATCTGTGAAGAGATTTTTCATTGCCTATTAAATGGTCCTAGAGCTATTTATGAAGGGGTTATTCATACTCTATTAAATGGTCATGAAACCTTTTTCAAAAATCATTTTCCTGTAGATTTATGGATTTACTTTTGTTCTATGTCTGTTTCTTTGCCAGTGGCAAATCTATCTTTTGAACACGGCAGCTTTATAACAAGTTTAGAATTTGGGATGTGTGAGTTCTCCAATCTTTGAATTTCTCCATGCTATTTTTATCAGTATTTAAAAGCCCTTTCTAACTGTATTGATTTGGGAATCAGTTTTTCCATTTCTACAAAAAGGTCATTGGAGTTTTGAAGGTTGTGGTTTCTGTAGCTCACTTTGAGCAGTATTTTGCCATCCTAACAATATTAAGTCTTATGATTCATGAACACAAGATTCCTTTGTTGTCATCAGTTATTGCCTCCACTTTCTCTGTAGTTTTTAGTGTACATGTTTTAACCTTCTAGATTAAGGTTATTTTTTGATATATGCTATTCTTTTTAATGTTATTGTAAATGGAATGGTTTTTGTTTCCTTTTAGGTTGTTTATTGCCAGTGTATAAAAGCACAACTGCTTTTTTTTTGGTACAGGAGATCAAACTCAAGACCTTGCACTTGCCAGGCAGGCACTGTGCCACTGAGCTATGTCTCTGGCACCACAACTGATTTTTATGTATTGATCTTGTAACCTATAAAATTGCTAAATTTGTTTATTAGTTCTAGTAGGTTTTTTGTGGACTTCTTTTTGGATGTTCTAAATCTAAACTTACCTTTTTTCTCTTTGTGGTACTGGGGATTGAACACAATATTCATATTATTAATGTTATTTGTAAATAGAGATATTCTATGTCTTCCTTTACAAATGTAGATGTATTTTATTTCTTTTGATTTCATAATTGCTCAGGCTAGAACTTCTAGTACACTGTTGAATAGCAGTGGTGAAAATGGGCTTTGTTCTCTTAAGGGAAAACCTTTCCATCTTTGTTGTTTACTATTGGTTTTTCCTAAGTGTTCCTTAACCATGTTGAGATAGATTCCTTCCATTTATAGTTTACATGGTGATTTAACATGAAAGTGTTAGATGTCAAATGTTTTTATCTGCGTCAATTGAGATATGTTTTCCCTTTGTTCTCTTGATGTTGTGCATTAAATTTATTGATTTGTTTATGTTGAACCATCTTTGACTTCCTAGGATAAACCCCCTTGACCATTGTTTATAATCCTTTGAATGTGCTTTTCCACTTAATTTTTTAATATTTTGTTGAAAAATTTTTCATTTTTATTCTCAAATGATGCTTGCCTATAGATTTTCTGTTTTTGTTATATCTTTGTCTGGTTTTGGTATCAGGTTACTGGACTCAGAATGAGTTAAGTTTTCACTCTTCTATTTTTTTGGAAGATTTTAAAAAGGATTTATGTTAGTTCTTTAAATACTTAGTAGAAATCACCAGTGAGGCTATCTCCTCCTGGACTTTTCTGTATTGAGAAGTTTTTAATTAGTGCTTCAACATTTTACTTGTTACAAGTCTTTTGAAATGTCGTTTTCCAACCTCTCTTCAAAAAATGCTAAATTTCCTTACTTCCTCTTCAAATTCCTTTTTTTTCCCTCAGGAATGACTTCCCTTCCTCATGTCTCCAAAGGCTTTCTATTCATTATTTCTGCTGCTTAGCACTGTACTCCTGTACCTCACCATTCAGAGTCTTAACCCTTTATCTTTCTTAATGCTTTTCACCTCACCTAACCTCTTGTTCTGGTTTATATCTAGGTGTCCCCTTAAAACATGTGCTCATAGGTGGGGCTTTGGGAGATGATTGGATAATAGAGGCATGATACTCATCAGTGGATTAGTTCATTGATGAATTTATAGCTAAAAGTGCTGTTGGGAGGTGAAGTCTAGTTGAAGGACCTGGGTCCCTGGGGCATGGCCGGAAGAGTCTATCTCCCTCTCTCCTCCCTTGATCACTCTCTTTTTCTTATCTCCATATCATGAGCTTTTTCTCCTCTGACATGCCCCTCTTCCATACCTCCTTGCCTTGGAACCAGCCAACTATGTGCTGAAATCTCTTAACACAATGTACCTTTCTTACTTAGAGTTGTATCAGGTATTGTGTCTCAGTGATGGCAAAGTAACTAAGATAACTTTATATATCGGAAGAGGGGTAGTTGCTGTGAAGGTACCTGACTATGTGGTTCTAAAGCCCTTGGAACTGACTTGCGGTCAGAGTTTGGAAAGGTTTGGCCATGTCAGCTGGAGAAACAACCCTAGAATGCTGTTGTAGGCTAGCTTGATGGGAGATTCTGGTTGAGAGTCCAGACTAGAATGTTGACAGTAATGTAGCCAGTAAGGACTAGACTCAAGATACTTCAAGGGGA